CGTTACAATTGTAACTCATACACCATAATATAGAGATAAAGTTGGACGATGTGTCGCAAATGAGTTTTAGGCGGCTCTCTATCTGTCAAACAACTAATATTCTAGAACCTACTGAATCTAGTAATGAGAATTATTGGGTATTGGAATCACAGACCCTCTCGGAATAACCCTCTCGAGCTTTGTTATCTCACCAAGGACATTGTGATTTTAATTTTCAAGATGTTCAGGATGATCGGAGCTCCAACTTGAGATCTTTTGATCTTCATCACATATAATTCATTTCATATGTAATTTTAGAAAAAGAGGAAAAGATATGCTCTCCAGGAAATATTTTTAGTTTGCTTTTAGCATCAATGCCAGAGAGTAGAGGAGCAGATATTTCATCAATACAAGTTTACTTCACATTTTTCATTTTTACCCTCAGTATCTAACACTGTCCCTTTCCGAGTATACATTAATGAGCGTGGTATGGTTGGGTTAGTGGCGTAACAGAAAGGCAAGTGTTTATTAAATCTGGAGTACGACTCTGTGAGCCAGAAGCCGTCTTTTAGATTGGCACAAGATAACCGGATAAGTAAGATATTTTTGCCTATGTCCCATGCGAGTTGCAGGATGATGTTTGTCCTAGGATCTCCTTTGCGCAAGTTAGCACAAAGACATGAGATCGTTGTTGCCGTAGTCTGAAGCTCGATAGGTTTGTGATTCCTTACAGGCATTGAGCAATCTCGGAAGGTTTGTTTTCAAAAGTCTCCTCTGCGACTTTCTGCTTAGCCTCCTGTTTGCGAATTGAGACAGATCCTGCCTAGTAACTTTGCTAACGGATCACTGAAAACTGGCTTTTGTGCGTTGCACCGTCTTGCCGCCAACCCGAGTCGGCCTTGCCATACAGCTAAGCTCAGTTTCGGTATGTGGCCCTTAGTAATTGATAGACCTTGAAGTGACCTGTTTGCAATTGGATACCTTGTACTCGATAGACCGGCACCATGAGCGTCGCTCAGATCGTGAGCAAATCTTAGTTGGGTGGTGTCCCCAGCATCGGTTGCATTGCGCAATTTTGAGCTTGCGCTGAAGTTCGTGGAGGCGTCCGCTTTCTTCGAACAGTCTTTCTTCAAGCTTCGGTTTTCCTGTTGCGAATTGCAACACCCAGTCCGTTGACGGCCTGGCCATACTAGTCGTAAAAGCATTGGCTGGTGCTGGTCTAACTCCCGTTTTGTGGCCCCTTCTTCAATCACCATTTTTTATGTCACTTGTGCTGACCAGTCTAGATTGTAGAGCCTGACAGGTATTTTTGGTGCCATAATCGAGATCCAATTGGAAGCAATCTCTAATTTCATTTCTGAGCTATCCAAGATAGCCCTTCAGAGAGAAGTGCACTTCTGGCTCCTTCTCATTCAGCTTGTATTGTGAACCTAAAATAGAGGACAGTAACTTGCTTTATTGCAGAGTTTGCAAGGCTTAGCTTGCTTGCTAAGCCTATTTTTGTGAAGTGTGGAGACAAATGTCTCAATGGATGGTCGGATCTAAGCTGTAGGAATATGCGTTCATCGGGTACGTCAGGCTTTGTTGCTGGTACATTGGCTTATTCTTTCGGCCAGTAGTTAGTATTGTTGTCGGATTCACTAGTTTGGGCTTTTCCCACACCACCTAATTCCAAGATTTCTCAGTCATGTTTCGACAAGCGGAGTATATAACCTAGTTAGGCTAGGGGATGAGGTTATGGTAGACTTTTTAAGTGTTGTCGATCTGTTATTTTCTCTCGCAGGAATATGCACTGGACGCGTGGTGCTTGCTGGGGCTGTTGGGCGCGGACTTGAAACTCGTTTGGGTAGGGATATTGTGATTTGTCCATATTTGAACTGTAATTGAAGCGTAGTCGAGAGCTGGGCGGTTTTGCCGCGCATGATGTCTTTGATTTTGCGCTGGAGTGCCGCGTCACTTGTTTCAACTTCTAATCGAAACTCTCGGTCAGTAATGAATGCCAACATGTTGATGAACCCGTTGACAATGAGCTCTGCCTCTGCAGACGCTGTTTGAAGAGTCTCGCTCCATTTGCGAGGAATTTTGTCATCATGACGTTCGTTGACTCGAGTTGAATTTGGGGTAAACCCTGACAGCTCACCTGATAGATCGTCTCTGTGTCTTGTTGCGTATTTAATGTTAGGTGTTGCGGTGGCCCGATGAGGACCATTTCGACGCCTTGACGCGTTAAGGATTTGGTGGGAAGGGGGTGCCAGGAGCTAGCCTCTGCAGAGGACAAAGGCAACTTAGCTGGACTATGTAATTGGAAATTTGATTTATTGTTAAATCAATCTATGAGAGAGTTCGGTGAAATGCAAGTAGAACGGTGATATTGTCCTCCGGGTATAATGTCGGCTTGTACCAATATTTGCTGGCCACATAACGCCACAGTCTGGTTTGGCGAGAGTTATGGTCATAGAAATAAGAGTGTGCAGGTGGTTCTCAAGAAGTGATGAGGCTTTGGTGGAAAATAATCTTTTTGTAAGTCAAAAATTGATTTGATATGGGGTATCTAATTATTGCCTTGTGGGTCAACTTCTTCGGAATTAAGAAATATGATCGAGCTTGGCTCTAAATGAGCTTTACACTCCTATGCTCGTAGTGAACGATGCAAATAGATGTTAAGTCTTTGTCCTGGATACACGACATATTTTTGAATTTAGTGCTTCCGAATTTATAGCTCCCTTCCTCCCTCTGGCGCTTTGATGAAGTGGTCACATGACAAGTCCGCGTGATTATTTGTACCGGTTGGTTTGCAAATGTATTTGGTAACAGATGTAGAACTAGCCATGGCAAACGCACGCATTGAAGAAGTGAGCGAAAGCGACCCGTCTGAAGGGGACATATCTGAATTATCAGACAATGAATTTGACGAGCGCGAAATTATCAAAACCAGAGCTGGATACACCGGCAAACCCACTTCGTCTCAACCGTTAACAAGCTCGTCTCTTATCGACACACCGCGATTCCCTCCAGTTGAAAATTCATCACATTTCAAAAATTTTCAATGTATCTATCCTGTTTATTTTGATAAGCTAAGAAGTCGGAAACAGGGCCGAATGGTCGCCTCAGAGCTAGCAGTTGAAAATCCAATGGCTCGAGGTATCGCCGATATCTGTGGTCGCCTAGGGCTAGAAACTCTGTTTGAGCCATCTAAGATTCACCCAAAGGATTGGGCAAATCCAGGGAGAGTAAGGGTGAATCTGAAAGGAGGTAAAAATATCAGCATCAATAATAGTATGTATACACTCCATTATGATATAAATTAAGTGACTTCCAAAAGTTTGTGGTGAGATGATATCACTGAGAAAAAACAATATTTTAGAATTCATGACAAATCTTATATTACCAGAATACTCTAGGTGTGGAAATTATAAATTTACTAACGTATATTTCCAGAACATCACCTATACATTCTAATATCAAAATATCTAAAGGCCGAACCTACTACGATTGACACAGCAAAAACTATGATTGTCCCGGGCGTGCCTTCCCCAGATCCTACAAAGCCATATCCTACTCCTGCAGTCCCAAAGGGATGGATCATGGGCTCCATATTACCTTACCATAGTCCCGCAATATCAGACGGCGGGATCAGTGAGGGTTTCTTTAAGGAAATGATGGCGCAGATGCAGAGTGCAGGAGGTGTACCAACTGGGATGCCAGGTATGCCAGGTATGCCAGATTTATCTTCACTTCAAGGCATTTTAGGCGGTGCAAGTCCAAGCAGCAGTACTCCGAATTCCAAAAAGCCTAGAAAGAAGGGCAAAAATTAATTGCCTTTAAACAAATATCCGATCAATTTTTAACTACATTGCTTTACCTAAAGCTTTGAAACAAATCGGAACTTGAGCTCAAATTTATCTGGAATAATTTCCGCGCTCAGAAGCTAGAACTCTTTAATTGTATTTGAGAAAAAATACACGTGGGCTCAGATTAGATGCGATGATTCGAAGGTGACGACTTATTCAAATTGTCGAACCGCCTCAGGCTACGTTTCTACGCTGGAGTACGATTGATCTGCTCACTCACAAGTTCCCGGTTCAGGCGATTCAAATATGATTACAATATCTATATCGATCCGTATCCGAATCCTCAAAAATATCTCGCTCGATACGTTCCTTTTCTAAGGCGTTAGTGTCATCTGAGCTCATAATTCCTTAATTTATCTGCCGGCGTAATCTCTGAAATGTCTGTTCTGTTAGAATCTTCTTTTCTAATTTTTTGAACCAATCAATTAATATTGCGAGCTGTGATTTTTATGATCAACACAAATTCCCTAGTTGTTGTTTTCTAATTTTGGTAAGAGCCTTTATTTCATCTGCATAATTGAGTGAGAGTGAGTATCAAATCAGTGGACCATCTAGATTCTGAGGCTTGTGGCAAAGGAGCAATAATAGGTCAATATTCCAGAATCTCAGTTGTCCTTGAAAATCAAAATTAGATATTTCACGGAAATTTCTCTCTAATTCTTGCCTTGCATTACTCATTCATTCATACCTGAGACTCTCAGCTATGCGCAGAATATATTAATTCGCCACGTCATTGATTGGATACAAATTAAAAAATTTACGTACTAGGCCTGAGACCCCGGAGGCTCGGCGTGACAACCGCCAATGCCATTATACGGAATTTTCGATGCCGACCACATGAATCGCCTAAATTGAAGTATGGAAATGAAATATTCATGGTAGCACCGAGCTAGCCGTAAATATTTAGAATTATCAATCAATATTAGTAGCGAAATGACTAATCTCATCAAATTGGGAAAATTATATTATGTACAAATACTATCAATCCAACATGAGAAATCCTATGTCTGTCAGCCTTCGACCTTCATACCATTCATCACAAGCACTCGGAAAATTGAGCCCTATGCAATAAATACGTGTCAATACGATTAAATACTATTAAAGATAAATTTTTGAGTTGACCATCAAATTTGTTTGCGCATACAAACTCACAGGCGATTTCATTTAGATATGATAATGAATCACACCAAACTCCTATCTCTCATAAATCTTCTATTTACGGCAGTCAGTGGGCTATCTGGGGACTCTAAATTTGTGGTCCCTTCAGACTTTCCCTCGTCGGTCTTCGCAAACTACTATGTTAAGCCAGGACCTAATTCTCAGCCGCAACCGGCTATCTTCGATCCCATTCTCAATATCACATTTCCATTTAATCTGACCGATCCAAAAAATATACCTACTCATAATGACGATCCGATCTACTTTCCTCCCGGCGACGAAAATATCACGAATTCTAGAGCCGAGGAATTAATTGGCTATGCTTTGTTAAAAATCCAAGATATTATGAGTGAATCTAGTGAAATTTCAGATAGTTGCTCCAAGTGTATGGCTGGCTTAAGCGTTGGGAAATATTTGGCTCAGAGAATTCCAACTTTTGTTCCAGATGTACTCGTCTCATTGTGTCAGTCAATGCAATTTGCCTCGGATGCCGTATGCCAGGCAAAATATGCTGCGAGTAGGTATGGTGCCACCTGGACTCAAGTATTGGCCCTTGCAGACGTTACAGGACTTGATGGTAAATATATTTGCGCCACACTTAGCCGCAACTGGTGCGATTTACCCTCAGCCAATCCTCTGAATATGACAGGGCTGTTCCCAAAACCAAAGCCAACAACACTCACGAAACATCAACCTAGTGGAAAGCGCGTAAAAGTTCTTCACCTATCAGATTTCCATCTAGACCCCCGCTATGAAGTTGGCTCAGAGGCAGTCTGTACATCTGGTCTCTGCTGCAGACATTCTGAAAATTCTACGTCGCAAGTTAATCTCCCAGCTCCGCTTTATGGGGCGTATCGGTAATGATCAGTTATCTACTATCTATCCTTTTCTAACCCTTCACAGATGTGATACTCCTTACTATCTTGCTCTTGCGGCGCTCCAATCCTTAGGGCCCCTCACTGGCACTGGAAGTTTGAAGTCAAGCCCTGCCTGGACTTTATACACTGGTGACCTTGTATCTCATGATAAACACAATCAACTCTCTCGAGAGTACGTTGAATATACAGAGACTAGTGTATATGGTATGATGAAGTCATTCATCAATGGACCAGTCTTTGCAGTACTTGGAAACCATGACTCTAATCCAGACTCTATCGATGCGCCACACAGTATGCCTGGGCCCTTGGGACAGCAGTTTAGCTGGAATTATGACCATGTTTCTAGCCTTTGGAAAAATAACGGATGGATCGATGAAAAGACTGCAAATCAAGCATCCACGCACTATGCAGCATATTCAGTCAAAAACCATCATGGTCTTCGTATTATAACTATGAATACCGACTTTTGGTATAAAAATAACTTTTTGAACCTCATCAACACGACTAACCCAGATGTTTCTGGACTTTTTGACTTCATGATTAAAGAACTTCAGTCTGCAGAAGACGCAGGTGAAAGAGTATGGATTACTGGCCATATATTGAGTGGCTGGGATGGGGCTGGATCCCTTCCCAATCCAAGCAATTTGTTCTACCAAATTGTTGACAGATACTCTCCTCATGTTATATCTAATATCTTCTGGGGCCATTCACATGAAGACCAATTTTCCATTTACTACAAGAACAATGGTACTATCAGAGACAGTAGTACGGCCTTGACAACTGGCTGGATCGGTCCATCAATCACTCCGCTGCACAATATGAATTCTGGTTACAGGATGTATGAGGTTGATACTGGGAACTTTGAGATTTATGAGGCTTATACCTATTTTTCGAATGTGAGCTCATACCAAAATCTCGGCTACAGTGGTCCAACTTTTGAATTTGAGTATTCTACTCGTGAGGCTTACGGCAGCGTTATCGGCTGGCCGGAAGATGCTCCACTGAACGCAACATTTTGGCATAGCGTTACCGAAGCCATGGAAACAAATAAGACCTTAGTTTCTCAGTTTAATACATACCAGGGGAAGTCAAGTGACAAAAGTCCAGCATGTACAAGCAAGGAATGTGGCGAAGCCAAAATATGTTATATGCGGTCTGGGAGTGAATCATTGTCGAGAGCTTGTCCGAAAGGATTTTCTTCTGTACAAAGTCCATACAGTGGAAGATCAGGTTAATCTCGAGAAGTTTAAAGTATTTTATGGTCAGAGCAGATTTCTCGCGAAGAAATCATGTAATACAACCCGTAATTCAAAAGTACTCTCGCAACAATACTTTTTCTGATTATCAGATTCAGCGAGAACTATTGCAGTAATACTATGATACAAAATAGAAATGAAACTTTGACTTCATGTTTTTCACAAGATTGGCGCGGACGACAACGTCATTAAACCTTCACAAACTCTTGTAGCAGTGGCGGTATTACTGCAACCTGATCATGTAGGTAGAACTACAACTTTTGTACAATATTCCCAGCGTTGGAAATTTAAAGATGAAAAAGGCTTAAGGACTGGACGGGTGATAGGTCTTGGTAATCAATAACGATGAAAAGGCGGTCGTATCATATCTTAGAATATCAAGAACCACGGATTTGATTAAATTTGATATATACTACAGTCCGAACTGAGTGCACGGTTATGGAAGGCTTTTAGAGCCTAGATGAAGGAGCTATTAGATACAATTAATTTAAATTTGTTTCCTTCGGAATTTATCCTTTTACTTTGAAGGTGAAGCAAAAAAATAATTCCAGATATGGAGTCAGACGCAAGTCACCAAATATTCATTGGGAAGCGGAAATTATAGTTGTTACACTATCACCGGCTGGCTGTAGTTGAAACTGGCAAGGATAAAGACTGTTTAAGGACACCACATGGCAAATGTAGCTCATTTTGTTACTAGTTCCTCCAGGACTATAGTTCGAGCACTTTATTCCCGAAGGGAATGTGTGACACGCGCTCTCAAGTTCGTACTTCCATAGATAGACCTTGATGAAGTTCATCAATATGCCAGCATTTACTTCCCGTCTGCCCTCCTGATTAGGCATCTTTTGTGGAGATTGTAATTTTCTAAGTGCGTTTACGCCATCTTCCGCTTGTTGCTCGTTGCTCTGAGCTACAATACCGACGTTGCTAGTGAAGTCATGAAAACGAAGGTATTACGCATAGATCGAAAGTATGGATTCACACCAGAGCCTAGCAGGTGCGCTGATAGAACACATCACATCAAAATCTTACAAGCTTGTCTAACATAACCTTTGATTTAAGCCTTTAATTCAAGGCTTTGTTAGATAAGCTTGCGGGAGATCCTTGGCCATTACAGACTGTATTAAAGGTCTTTCAAGATAAACTGAAGGAATGAGCCCACTTCTCTTGAGACAAGCACTTCAAGGGCTAGCTTTTGCGACCTTGCTACGTGGAGCTGAGACATGGTCTTCGAAAGGATCAGTCCTTGGGGTCCAACAAAAATTTAAGATGCTGCTCGGGCGTTCCTTCCTTAATCCCAAATGACCAGTAACTACTCTTATCTAAGAGGCCAATCGATGTCTCGTGCTATCATGGCATGAACACATGATCAGCTAGCCGTCCGTATAGCTGCAGTAGACCTCAGATAGGCTCTCTGTACACAATGATATTCAAATATAATACGCAGGATAAAAAAAAGAAGTCAATTGAAATATTCGGAAGAAACCTTGCCTTCCTCATGAGAAGATAAATGCGATGCATACTTGGAGAGAACCGGGGCTATGGGCTAAGCAGGTGAGGACGATGCCCTCGCCTGCCAAAGTTTCTTATATATCTCTCTGGAGAAGGATGGTAACCAGACACTAGTACGCGGTATTTTCTATCAACATGAAAGAGGAATATTTTCCCTGAGCCGAATTCAGTCAAATTATGCATCACTGATAAAGTTGGCCCAAGAAGCAATGACTCAGGACTCCAAACAAGATCGCTTCCAAACAAATCCTCACACAGCCTGCTAGTAGGACCTATTTTATCCTGATTTCGATGACCACATTATTCTTTAACTGAATGTGAAGTCTTCTGTGGTCTCCTAGTACAAATTAACGACTGTAGAAATATCCGCAGGAGGCAAATCATGGCGCACGATTCTGGGAAGCAAAACTTTGAGATAGACGTGGGAGAGACCAGCATAGATAAATAAAATTACGCAAACGGTTGATATAATTTAGGGAAGGGAGTGTCTTCGAATCTCGACTGAGTGTTCTACAAATTGATCATAATTGTGCGCGCCTAACCTTGGATGGCGATAGTACAGGCGACATTTAATCACCTTTATGGCAGAATAGTGCGGTGGTATATCGCCTAGGACAGTCTACCTAGTAAATTCTGGATTATTTCTGACACCCGCCTCGCTTGAGAAGGAGGATCGCTGATTCGAATCTAGCAAGACTGGGCCACAATTCTTACTGTCGAATGACCTAATGACTTAATGACCTTTCATGTATTATCTTAGAAATGATGACTAATTATGTTGATGAATAATGAGTTACCTGTTTAGGAATGGCGTCAGGAGAGAGAGAGACAACTGCTGTATATACATGTTTCTTTTAGTTAGAAGGGGGGAAAGAGAAGATATATGTTAGCCACCAATTGTTATTACTGCTACAGAAGGCTTGTGATATAATACCACTCGAGTATTCCGACACTTACATTTTCATATAAAGGGTGACAAAGATGTGCTTGGATAATCAAAGATTTTGACATTTTCTGTGAAGGGCACCCACAGAGAATTGTCAACTCTTCATAATCAGCAAAAATATCTCATAGTGGTTTTTGTGAATGAATTACACAGTATGACTGTCTCTGGTCAAAAGAATCATCCGACACTTACACATAGCACTGATCATATGCCATAGCGAAATGTTTAGAGTTGCATTGAATAATTCAAGGAAATAATCCTGCCTAGTAGAGCAATTTGAACTTTTTGGATGGTCTACGTACTGACGATCCAGTCATTCTTGGATTAATCAAATTCCTCAACAAGCCAGTGACCCAACTGATGAGGATTGGAAATACATTGAACCCCCTTACTTCTTTCAAAACCCTTGAGCAGCTGAACACCAACTGGGCTCCTTCATGGCACCAATCTCACATTCTGACCAATATTTCTTCTCAGATATAAGAGATCACTAAGTTGTCCTACTTACAGCTAGTCAGAAATATTCATGTTGATGATGCCATAGTTAATACAGATGGTCCCCTTTCAAATGAAATTGGGAGCAGCAAAGGCTTTGTGGTATACCTACCAATCATTAGAGAGATTAAATGTTTCTCATATCACCCTGGTGATACTATGGGTATCACAGGTGCCGAGACTTACTGCATATTGAGCGCAACACAATACGCGCACCGGGATCCGGACCAAACAGTATTTCTTCCAAATTTGATTTCAGTTTTTGATTTATGTTTTTGATTTTAGTTTTGCTGTTAACTTCTACAATTTCAGTAGAAGTTCATGCGGTTGGAATGAGTTGGGCCTGTACGCAGTGATCCTTGCCGGCTCCACCGGTCCTTGACCCAATGTGGAAAAGATAGCGTTAGCTTAGGACCAAATGTAAAAACAAACAAAAAAAACAAACAATACGCGCACGACACATTGTTGGTGAATAGCCTTCACCTTGATATGGGAGCCCGTCTATAGGACAGCTACTAGTGTTCGGAATACTGGAGTCATTTATATAAATTGGGCATTGGATGTAGCAGTAGTTTTGTTCTTGAGTTAATAAATAAATTACCCTTTGACATTCAAAGGCCCAAGCTTTCGATATCGAAACTGTTACATTGAGAGATTTATGAGTTTGGAACTGCCTTAGTAGTTAGTGTTGGAATTTAGAATAATTGGGGCTATCAAGTGGACCACGTTGCTGATCTACACGTGACTGCAAATTCTGTACTTAGTTTCACTTCGGTGGTTTCTCGAATAAGTGCGCTCTACAACCTCAATGACTGAGGGGTCATTCTTTCCTTCATAGTTAATGACATTGCCGCGAAACTAAAAATATTTGCATCTATCAGTTTATCACGGGTAAGAAATGTGCTAGCACAATGGGTTCTGAAATCCAGAGGGGTTGTTTGTTCCATTCTCCTTCCTTCACCTAGATTGAAGCTAATAATACAATCTATCCTGCTGTTATGCTCAGCTATGTAGGATGGTAGATCTAGTAGCTGGTGCATAGGTAGTTATTATGGCAGCATGGCATTATGGCGCATGGAGAAGATCCAGTCTCTACATAACGATATTACATGTAGTAATGTGTGCAGTACGAGAGGTGGGTTGTTGATATAGGACAAATGGCATGGCTGCTCAGTTGGTTGCACACTTTGGTGAGCTGCATACTGAAAAAGCCGCCATAACTTCGCAGTGGTACTTGCAAATGAAATCCGAGGCATGAGTGCTCCTCTTGTAAATTGAGTCATCTTTTCTGTACTTTTCTTTGATATTGTGTCATAGCTAGATAGCTGCATACGCAATTAAAATCTGATGCAAAAAAAAAAAGAGAGCTGCATACTGGTAACGTGATCGGTCTACAAGCGAACAAGCTAGAGGATAAGGGACGAGCTTCCCCCATTCTGTAACATAATGTGTATGTGTGTTTTATTGTACTACTTTAGTCATAGACTATCTAGCACATTGGGCTCCTCTCTGACTCAGGCTACACCTTGTACAGTGCTCCTATCCTCTTTTATTACATCAAAGATCATTGATATATTCCCCTTGATGAATAGTCATGCAGCTCAGTGTTTACCCGTGGAATTCGGCCACCTTTTCCACGGAACCTTCTACCCAAAAAAAATATAAATGCTAGCAACGGAAACTGCGTGCGCGGGAAGAAATCTCAAAAAACCTGCAGTCCCAGCCAGGCGAGGCCTAGACACCGGGACCACACGAGGTGCGCATATTCATCTATATCTCCCTTCTTTGTAACAGTCGAGGTCGACTTGATCCAATTCACCATCTCCGTTTCGGGTGCTGGGTACGCTCCGGAAACTCATCGGATGGCTTTTCCTCCATGATCAAGGGTTGGTGATGAGTAGGGCTCCGACCCTACCATCTGATCTGATCGTAGTTAGCTTTATGATAACGGTGATAGGGGGATGTGTTGAGAGATGAAGACGATACAGACGGCGAAAGCGATTGGGAATCCTCTTCGAAATGAGGACTTTGTTATTGAATCTCGGCTCTGTAGACTCTACAGTGAGAGCTGGAGGTTCGTAGGGGACACCACTGACAGGTGTTGAGAATAGTCCCCTTCTGTAACATAATAATTATCGTAGAACTTCACTTCTGCACATTAATGAAGACATCTCTCCACAAACTATCTTAGCTGTTCTAGCGCAAGTGTACACTCCCAAATCGGTTACCAATCATATTACCTACAACTCATGTTACGTAACCAGGTCACATGATCATATTTAACTTTATCTGTAAAACTCCATTGGTGCAATTACAAATCAGCAATATTACTACTGCTATTTAATGAGCAATATGATTGTCTCTAAATAACCACATGTTACAATAGCATCCTTTAGACCTTTTAAGTCGAGCGTGGGTTTTTTTTTTCAAAATTTCAAGATAAGAAATATGAGGTGGCAATCTGAATGCCGAAGGACTTGAAACTTAGTAACCTGCAAAGTTTTGATTTGAGTTTGAAAGGGGTAAAAAAAGTGAGCAGGTTATGGTGTTTTAAGCATTTGGAATAAAAGTCATGAGCTAAAAGCTGTATCAGTTGGTAGTAGTGGTAGGATGCCCTTTTGTGAATGTATTGCTAGAGCTACTGTGTGTGCGCTTCCGATTCTCTTTAAATATTGCACTACCCCTCCAATCAATCCTATAAAGTTCCCTTGATACAATTTTCGCACACACGGTGCTTGCATGTCTTACACTGCTTATGCAGACGATGATTCTCTTTTTCACACTATATTTCACTATTTAGTTGATTCATACAAGAAATTGCGTTGAACTTACCTCGGCCCCGTTGACAGACTTACAGCAATACCAATGAGTCCAAGGCATCTCGCCTCGTTTGACATGATCTGCAAAAAATGAGGCATATCGCTTTGCCTTTGATACAATCTTTGAAGGAGCTGACGCAGTTGGGTGCAGAGTTTTTTCAGTTGGGAGACCCTTGCGTTGATGAAATTTTACTGGATAACACTTTGAATCAGTCATATCCATGTGATGGTCTCGAAGATCTACGCGAAGGAATCAGGACGAGTAAGAGAAGGTAGAATACAGTGGCAAGAAAGGGCGGAAAGGGTAATAAAGCAAGCGTTAAGACAAATAATCGAGATTAGGCGCAGAGTATAAATGTTAGGAGAAGCGGTGCTGTCTTTCAAGGAACTTGTTAACTACCTGGAGGCCTAATCATGAGTGATTCAGGGCTGTTCATAAGGCTTGACGATTGGGTACTCCCTACTCGGAAATTCAACGACAGGGATAAACATGTGCATGAGAATGGCGCAGCCAATGTCTTAAAATAAACCGAGTGGAAATGACGTCATTGGGAAATGAAAGTTTTCTGTCAATTCTTTATCTCAGGTCCATTTGCAAATCTCAACCCCAGTTGCCTCTTTCTCTAAAGTTTCAAGTGCTAATCCATAAGTTCTTCTCTGTTCTTCACTGAAAGTTTCCTTCGAAATATTAGTTCGCACAATCTTCCCTTTTGGTCGATGTATATGTGCTGAGCGGCCAATCTCATTCCAGAACCATCGTCCCTCTGTAGCAGTAAATAATGTCCAGGCACGACCTTCTTTCCCAGCTCGCGCTGTTCTTCCTACACGATGTATGTAACTCACTACACTAGTAGGAATATCGTAATTGATAACATGGGCGAGATTTGGTAGATCTAATCCGCGAGAAACAAGGTCAGATGCCACAATAACAGAGATTATTCCTTTACAGAAAGATCGTATACACTGCTGACGGGATGAGCGAGGTAGAGAGGATGTTAGGACCCCTATTCGTGTGGCTAGATTTGGGCAAAGGAGAGGAATGATACGACCTAATCGAACAGCAGTCACATTAGAATTGGTGAAGATTAGAACACCTTGTGGGCTATTAGAGTTGCTATCCGGTGACAATGAAAGGACCTTAGATGTGCTTCGTTCCTTCGACACCGAGGTCGAACTGTCGGAAGTCTCCGAATCCAACGAAGAATCTAGGCTATCTGTATCTGATGGATAGGAATCTTCTAAATCTGCAATGGACATAACTGATTCCCGTTTTAGTATCTCCATTAGATACAGCGGTTTTATACCATCTTCCTCTACCTTCACACCAGACTCCCAAAGTGTACAAGGCAAGTTATGTGTTTGAGAATCACCGTCTATTTCCATTTCACTGTCTAGTGTGATAAGCTTTGGCCGATATAATTTAAGTTGAGCCAATTCACCAAGATCTCGTGTCATTGTTGCACTGAGAATCAACTTCTGAACTCGTCTGCGTTTTACAAGAGGCTCAGTATGTTTTGATTCTACTTCAGCCATCACCAAAGGCAGCCATTGTTGGAAGCTTTGATCCAACAATTTGTCAGCCTCATCAATAACTAGCCAACTCACGTCTTTAAGTGAAAATCCGGAGGTACATTTCATGTGTTCAACAAGTCTTCCAGGCGTACAAATTAAGATGTCAACATTGACTTTTTGATATGATATATGATCTGGGAATTGTCCTGTGCAACTTTCCTCAAAAATACTATGAAAGCCGTCATCGACATCTTCAGCGCTTTTCCAAGCTAGATCTATTCTGTTTAGTCTTTTGCTGTACTCCTCTGGATCATACTTTTGATCATAATCAATTAAGTGAAATTGTTCGACACTTAGAGACTCATTCCCAACAGCTGTGCCAATCTTAACGCGCTTTTTCTTATTATGATAAAATGCTGTCACACAAGTTTCGGCCATTTCTTTGACCTGAAAAACAAGTTCTCTAGTTGGAAGAATTATTAAGCCTCTAAGTTTGGTAATCTTGTGATAGGAAATATCTTTAATCATTGGGAGAGTATACGCTAATGTTTTACCTGACCCTGTGGCAGCTGATATGACAATGTCCCCACGCTCTCGTTCAGTATTTGAGATGAGCAGGGGTAAGACAGCAGCCTGTATGGCAAAAGCTTCATTAAATCCTTTTTCCTGTAGAACTTTGATAGTATGATTTTCGAGTCCGAGTTCTTTAAAGCTTACTTTCTTTTGAGTTGTAACATGCGTTGGATTCGCCATCCATGGAGGATAAGAGTCTGCAATTGACACTAGGGTAGCTGGGGGGAGAAGCTCAGCTTGAGGCAGAGGTACTAGATCATGTAATTCAACAGAGACTTTTGTAGAAGGTTCCATTAACGGTAAGCCTTTGGATGCGTCTTCTTTGGCTTTTATTTTTTTGAGAGACTTCTCTCGTTTCTTTAATATTTTGTTATGGCTTTTGGTGCTTTTTTCATCTCCTGAATCTAATTCATCTCTTGCACGTTTTTTTACATTAATAGAGCCCACATTTTGAAGGTCTAATTTAGAAAATTTTCCTTGTTCAATGGTAGCGGAAGGTTCAGATTTATTTTGATGGTATGTTCCAGAAGGTGGTGAACCGCTCTTCGAAGGCGATTTGAGACCCTCCTGATGAAATTTTGTTCTTTGATCAGGGTTTGAATTATTTTTGTTTCGATTTAACTTGTTTATATCTATCGATGGCTCAGAATAAGCTTGATTATCCATAATTACTTGGGCATTGTTGTCATATTTGAATGTTTTAACATATCTTTTTGACTTGGAGGAAATTTGATCCGAAGGCGATCGACCTTGTTGAGTCGGAGATTTACGAGAAAGGGGGGCGTTCATGGATTTTATGTTAGGTAGAGGGCCTTCTTCAGGCTTTAGACTTCTCGTTCCTATCTTGGCGAGGGAACTTGAAGGGCTGGAATTTCGATCGAACTTCGGTGCTGAGTTAGCTCCATTGGATATTGGCTTTGAAGGCAAGTACCTCGCATAGCTTGCCGAGGCATCGTGATATGTATCGCAAGTTATGACTGATTTCGAGCTCGAGATTGGTTGAGAAGATGTGGAATCTCTTATACTCTCTGATATTTTTGATTTCGGAGGAGGTACGTAACGGGCATAGCTGTAAGAGTTCATGATCATATACGGTTACGTCGGCCTAACATGCAGAAATTTACAGCGCCCGACGCAGAAAGCTTCTAGACAACCGTAAAGGGCTAACCTGATTAGTCGTAAGCACAATTTTGGATGACAACCTTGTCCCGCCACAGGCTTAGTAGAATCAATCAAAAAGTCTACCAACTTATTAACCCATTTGTATCCGAATTCAAGCAGTGTGTTGCATCATGTCATACAACATTGCGATGGTTAGCGACTTTTTTTTTCCACAACCTGGAGGTGTAGAGAGTCATATATACCAGCTTTCTACCAAATTGATCGATCGAGGGCACAAAGTTATCATTATCACGCATGCATATGAAGGAAGAACTGGGGTACGCTATCTTACGAATGGCCTCAAAGTTTATCATGTACCTTTTTTCGTCATCTATCGAGCTTCAACTTTTCCAACTGTTTTTTCCTTTTTCCCCATATTTCGCAATATTGTAATCCGTGAACAAATCGGCATTGTGCATGGTCATGCTAGTCTGAGCAGCCTTTGCCACGAAGCAATACTTCATGCGAGAACGATGGGCTTGAGAGCAGTTTTCACCGATCATTCACTGTTTGGCTTTGCGGATGCAGCTAGTATCTTAACAAACAAGTTGATGAAGTTTACATTGAGCGATGTAGACCATGTAATCTGCGTGAGCCATACCTGGTAAGGAATAAACTGTTATCCACTGATTGCTTCACGTGTACTTATAACACGTAGTAAGGAGAATACTGTTTTGCGGGCCTCTCTTGATCCCCTAATGGTATCCGTCATACCTAACGCTGTCGTTGCTGAGAATTTTCGTCCACTTAATCACCCTTCATACTCATCAGAAACTAGAAATCAGATTGCTCCCTCGCCTCAGCCTCTTGGACCAAATGATATTGTTACGATTGTTGTGATCTCACGGCTCTTCTACAATAAGGGAACTGATCTATTAGTTGCAGCAATACCTCGAATATTAGCAAATCATCCTAATGTTCGGTTTATCATTGCTGGATCCGGCCCTAAGGCCATTGATCTTGAACAAATGTTGGAAAGAAACGTTTTACAGGATAGAGTTGAAATGTTGGGACCTGTACGACACGAGGAAGTGAGAGATGTCATGGTTAGAGGACATATATACCTCCATCCAAGCTTAAGCGAAGCTTTTGGAACTGTAATAGTTGAAGCAGCAAGCTGTGGCTTATATGTTGTCTGTACGCAGGTTGGGGGCATTCCAGAGGTCCTACCAGCACATATGACTGTGTTTGCGAAACCTGAAGAAGATGATCTAGTGGCAGCTACTGGAAAAGCAATCGCTGCACTCAGAGCACACAAAGTACGGCCAGAAAAATTCCATGATCAAGTAAAGACCATGTATTCGTGGACAGATGTTGCCAGGCGCACTGAAAGAGTTTATGATGGTATCTCTGGCGTGTTGAGTGAGTCTGATTTCTACGGACATGATGCTGACCACGCCAATTGGAGCGCGACAAGGGGACGAGCGGGAATCCATAGCTTTGCATTGATTGATCGCTTAAAGAGATACTATGGGTGTGGTATATGGGCCGGAAAGCTATTTTGCATCTGTGTTGTGGTGGACTATCTCTTGTTTCTAGCCTTGGAGTTTTTGGCACCACGAGACACTATCGACATAGCAAGAAACTGGCCCAAGAAAAAAATCGCAACGGAAGATTCGACCGAACATAAAAACTACAATTATGGAGCATTTTAAAACAAAATGCAAGAAGATATTTCCAGAAACACTCTACGCTAAACTCAAGGGCCTAGTAAAAACAGACTCTCCGATCTTCTTGGTAAGTTTTACGACATCTAACACTTCAACAGAATCATCTTTATAAGTATGAAGATAACTTGAAAGTTTTTTTGTACACTGTCGAAAACTCACAAGAAGCCTAGCTTGAAAGGTTCAAAGAGAACTTCTACTTAATCTCGGATCTTGGTAGGTATTTTCGGCACCAACCAATTTTCCAAGCACAAATGATATATAAATTGCTCATTCGATCCGTTACTTGCATATTTACAAAATCCTCAAGGGACATTACGACAAGAGCACCTACCCATGTTTGAAAAAGTATACTCTTTTTCAAAGCTTACTAGAAATGAAATAAGAATTATCTTAATCACAGGTCGTCAGCACATACCAACGCACTGGCTCAACAATTTATTTTGGAAATTTGTTCTCTCAAAATATTTACGGACTATAGGAAAGCCTATCAGACAACGAAACATGTATAACATTTGTGGCCGTTATCCAGATATCTCTTCCAATGAGGTTGGGTTTGCTGTAGGGAAACAGGAAATTGATAAATTTACCAAGGCCTAAACGAAAATGATTGATTAATGTTAGAGAAGCAGATCATGTCCTAGTAAATAGAATGTGGAACCTCTAGTATTAGATTACACGACTTATTTAGTTATGAGCCGTGCACTGTCTGAACGATACACGCGTCAGTCAGTATTCACCGAGCAATGTAAGCGATGAGTTGTGGAAAAGATCCGTCAAGTGAATGAGCAGTCATACTTCGATGACTCAAGTTATTGACGAAGTACTTCTCAGTTATACGAGAGAATGAGACACGTCTAAAATAGAGTAGATTGGTGGACCACAGTTTGGTACATGGAGACTTCTATAAGACCCAACTCATATCACTACTGTGGGATATCAATTCAATATAGATTCATCTACGTCTTACTTTTGCTGTGCAGTGTCTCTTATCAAGCTATACAAGTGATCAAATTAAGTGAGTGAATGAGTGAGTGAGTGTTTATTGTCCTAAAAAGTCTATAACTATGTAAGGACATTTAGGTCCTTTCTGCCTACAGGCCAGGAGTATCTATGCCTCGGGTATTGTACTCTCTCCTTTGCCTCCTTCACGACTTCTTTCCAGCAGTAATACCCCCACAGGTCTTCATTCGAGTACACACTAAGAGGAGCCGTTATCCCGTCATTATCTCCCCTCTCCAGCCAACGAAACAATGGCCATTTGCGGGTGTGTAGCTGCAGGGAAAAGTCTCAAAAACCACTGGGTACGGGGCTCCCCTATGACGAAGAGGCCGGCCAGCCGGGAGCAGCAGACCTGTGTATACCTAAGAGTGTCTCTCAACCTTCCTAGCCTCCTCCTTACTCCTCCCTTGATTCATGCCGCAGGACAAATCGAAGGTCGTGGAAGGATGTCAAAGAAGTCTTGGTCGAGAGTGACTGCCGTGCAGGAGCATAGCCTAGCATCCAAAAGTCGTTACGGACGTGGGGTCGTCGAGTAACTCGTGTATTTCAGATGCCCTCCGGGCTAGTAGATTCGGAAGTGGAGATTAGTAGGGACGATATTGTAGACGAGTCGAAATCTGCTTTTCCTGGGGGCGGATGTGTGACGGAAACCGAGTTGGTAATGAATAAATCGATTTATTAAACTATATGAAGAGAAAAGAAATCTCTAGCTACTACTAACAGGTACTTATAACGTTTGGTCCGCTTCGTGAATCTGCTGACTGATAACTTCTCCCTAGGCCTAATACCTGCTACCGAGCCAAGTATTATCAGGAGCCATCACGCTATGATGTTGCTTCGACCTCCTGGCTGGTAGTGCCATTTCATTTCTATTTTCCCATCCTTCCTCTTTCAGTCTTATCGTAATTATTCCTAATTAAACGCTTAGGTTTCCTCCTAAGCTAAAACAACGGTCAAACCGTAACAGGATGGGTCTTTAACTTTGCTTTCGTGGGCTTTTTGTTCGCCCGTCGGTGGGTAGCACATGTTGTGATATAACGAGGGCCTCTCTGACTACAGTTGCAGCGTTTGGTACCGCGTTATCTTTCCCCATTCCCGGCATCATTATTGTCGTATTGGTCGTCTTACATATTATCGGAAGCGTCTCTTTGATGGAGGGGAGAGATAACTCAGCTCAAAGTTGAAAAGGTGTTCCTCAATCTCGGCTTTGCGGACTTTACAGTGAGAGCTGGTGGCTCGTAGGAGACACCACTGACAGGTGTTGAGAATAGTCCCCCTGGGAATATCTGTTACTCGAGTCAGGGAAACTTTGTACTTTTGTCTTGACGCATTTCAAGAGTGCAATGCAGTAAAGCCGGCTTTGATGAATTCTCTTAGGTTCGTATCATTTTTTTAAGGTATGTTATTGTAACAATCATCTAACCATTGAACCACTTGACCAAGTGCAACCGTCGCCAGCAAAGCCTAACTCTTCATCTTCCAGCTGTGCCGGTGTAATTGTTCAGTTCGATTTGCCTAACTACGATAACCAAGAAGAATCGCATCCGGATCGAAGTCGATAGCAAACACAAGCATATCTATGTTTGACAACCTCTTATCAATTTCAGTCTTGTCATTCTAACGCAATTGCTCTAACGTAACCCTACCACATGCCACACCGCCTCAACGACCGATCAAGTAGTTAGTCTAATTTTAAATGGGAACTTGCCTCGTCCATCGCCGACCATCTCTTGTTACCAAATTAAAACCTTATGTATATCTGAAAGAAAGAAAATAAGTAGTGAGCTACAAATCCCGGGTTTGGCTTGCATGGGATCACCGCTCTAATGGGGCTATGTGGCTTAGGGAAGGACAGGCGACAGGGGCGTGGAAAGAGGTAAGTTATCTCTCATGGAATGATATGTCTTGTATTTGCGAGATATTTTCATCTTTGGAATGTTTGTGGTCACCAAAAGCAAGGAGCTAGATTTTTGGTCAGGAGGCCTTTTCTTTTTGATGAGTCTACGGCACTCCCCAGTACTCCGGGCGGTGCAATGATATTGGGATAAGCTACCCTACAGCAACCTCGCTCTATCAAGACTTTTCTGACATTTCAGCATGGCCTTCGAGGAAGAGTGGCAAGGAGGCTAGAAAGGTAGAGGGTGAATTTCACGAGGTAAACACAAGTCTGCAGCGCCCAGCTGGCCGATCTCTTCGAACGCTTCAGAAGGGTAGCTATGTCTTTTGATTCAATCGTAATGTTAGTGCTATAAGAGGCCGCTCAGCTGTTTATGCGATTTTCCATGTCTGCCATACACTCACAAATGGTCAACATTTCGTTGGCTGGAGAGCGGAGATAATGAAGGGCAAAGGGCTCCTCTAAGTGTATGATCGAATGAGGGCTTACGAGGGGTGGTGCCATTTGAGAGGAGCTATACGGGAGGCAAAGGAGGGGATATACTACTGGCATAGGGGGGTTTTTTTTAAATCAACTAATTTGTATTCAGCTTTAAAGCTATGACACATGACCGGTGCTATTTATACATGTGGGATGACTCTTTTGACGTTAGAGATATTCATACTCTGTATTTCATTCGCAAATACCACTATGAGGTATGCTTGCTTACACAAACAGTCAACCCTCCTCCGTAAGTACCCACCAAAGGGACGTTTCAAAACCTTTGGTTATCCAAGCATGCCTTCGTCATCCATGCATATCAGCGCCGCGAGAAATGTGGTTGTGTTTAGCCGGAATTGAACCAGCGATCTACTGTCTCGAGTGGGATATGTGTCCCAGCTATCCAGACTCTGCTTGGCAGACCGACCAAGACGATGTACCACCGCACCATCCAGCCGCAGCGGTGTTTATAGTGTCGTCTACACTCTTGCAACCGAAGACTTGGCACGCACAAAGCTCAATTTGTAAAAATTCCTTTCCAACATTCAAAATTCCACGCCCGTCGAGACTGTATCCATCCGTCGCATCATCTTGTGAACTTGTCCTGATCCCTCTCACGTCCATCCCAAAGAACTGTCTCCTAGATTTGTGCGCCACGATTTGCTTCCTTCTTCGGGTGTAAATATCGGCGTGGGCGTGTATTTGGTGACCAGCTGAGGCCAGAGAAAGTCGACGAGAGGTGTGATCATTGGAATGAGAATGTACTAGGTCGTACTTGTAGACTTGATGAGGCTTAGGTAGGATTCGATGTTTTTGGGAGTGAAAGATTGACGTGGTGGAGTAATTTGATATTTTGCCTCGTGGGCTAACTTCTTTGATATTGCGAAATTTGACTGAACTTGGCTCTGGGAGAATATTTCACTCCCAGGTTCGTAGAGGACACCGCTTACAGGTGTTCAGTCTTGCCCTCCTTGGCATAGGTATGCTTGGCCTGTAGGAAGAGAGGACCTGCATGTCCTTAATGGTCATAGACTCAGAAAGGACAATAAAATTATAATAATAAAAATTTATATTTAAGATGAAAAGCGTTGGCACAGGCTGAATCTGCTAGCAGATAGATAATGGTTGGTCACTTTATTCTTTATTCTCTATCTAAGCTGTTTGTAGAGAGTTATCCTATGTAGGTGCCAAGGCCCTATTGTGATCAACACCCGTGCGTGAAGGCCTACACTTCGGACCATTCAGAGTGATCCAGATAAAAAGATACGCTGAAAAACTATTAATTGTAAAATTAATTTCATTGTTGACAGGACTTAAGCACTAGTGCTGGGGAATGAAAATAGAGTGTACTGAATTGTACATATATATATATATATATATATATATATATATATATATATTTACATCTATCTTGGGTGTTTCGAACCTCTGTGGATTAGATAAGACGCACAGGCCTCTCTATATTAGTCATCTAGTTTTTTCTTCTAAGCCTTATGGCCTGAGGTCGCAACATCCAGCCTGAGTGGAACCAACAGTCATCCTATAAAAGAGTCAATAAGGAAGATTATTACAATGTAATTTACCTTTTTCGGTGTATATCGACTCAATG